ACCGCCAAACCTTAACTACATTTGGAACATTATATTGGGCACGGATTACACGTATTGCAACGTATGATATTATCCTGTACGTATAATATAGGGCAAATTGAAACAGTGTGATCGCTAATGAGAATTGACCAGCTATATGTGTCACGAGGGTATGTAATAACCCGCAGATTTTGAGTCGATTTGAAGACGATATATACATATATGGTATTGTGTGTATGGTTTTGCTTTTGGCAATATTCCAGCAATATCACAACGGGGGACACTAGGAAAGGACTTCACACATTGTACCCATGTGGGAACACGAACCCAGGGGTCTTCGGCGTGACGAGCGGACACTTTAACCACTAGGCTACATGGATACACAATACATGCAGCGTTCGGTATACATGTAGATACACAACCAAACGATAGACCGCTATATACCGATACATCAATCTAAGGATATAGCCCGAACCAGTTGCATGTGTAGATCAATGCTCATGCTATGATCACTGGATTGTCTGGTCCAGATTCAATCATTTACAGACCGCTGCCGTATAGCTGGAATATTGCCGAGTGCGGCGTTAAAAAAATTAAAAATATAAACAAGTGAGTTAAAGTTTTAAATCACATCGGTAGTATTCAAGCAATATCGTGACAACAAACGAAGTTATTTACAGTTAGTTCTTGAAGCTTCAAATATTTGGATGAAGCGTAGTTGGAAAGGATGCGTTCGTTTCAAATCTGAATCAATTATTAGAAGGGACTGACTGACTGAGTTTGGTTTTACGCTGCTTTTAGCAATATTCCAGCAACATCATGGCAGGGAACACCACAAATGGGCTCCACATTTTGTATCCATGTAGGGATTCGAACCCGGGTCTTCGGCGTGACAAGCCAACGCTTTAACCACTGGGCGGTGGGGTAGCCTAGTGGTTAAAGTATTCGCTCGTCACGCCGAAGACCCGGGTTCAATTTCCCACATCGGTACAAATGTGTGAAGCCCATTTCTGGTGTCCCCACCCGTGATATTGCTGGAATATTGCTACAAGCGGCGCAAAACCATACTTACTCTTTCGTTTATTTGGGTATGATTTGTAAAGAGTTGCAGTTGTATTGAAAAAATTACCTATTGGCGTTGATGTTTTCATCACAATATACAAATTCACTTTCACTATATTATTAATGTTGTAGATCTTTTTTCAATCACAGTCTTCATGATTGGAGAGAGTTACTAAAATGTCTCTAAGTCGTTTTGTTTCAAACTTGTTTAATTATTAGCTGTATATAGATTTATTACAAATGTTATTTCACTGTTGGAATAGGTACAAGGAGTTCAATCTGTTAAAACATACAGCAGCTTACGTCACCTAGCAACTGACGTTGGTGAGTCTGCTGTATGCTGATGCTTGTTGTGTCAGGTAGTAATGATAAAAGTTCGTCAAGATTGTTTCACATTCAGCCTGGTTCCCTGGGTCTGTTGCGCCTGCGCAGGCGCAACAGACCCAGGGAACCAGGCTGGTTTCACATTCTGATACCAGTCGTGGTTCCCTTTGAACGTGGAATGGGACGTCCGTCAGATTGAATTGCAACAGGGTAACGCCCACACGAACGTGCGCAGACTCGTACACTCACATGCACATGCGTGTAGGTGTGCGTGTCTGAACACGTGCGTTGCTTCCATTCCGGAGTTTATCACGGATACCCAGTTCTGACTCAGAGAACATACTATCTTTCCACGTCTTTTGGTATGACTTAAACAGGTGATTGAAACATGATCTGTCTTCTGCACCATGCTCTTTCAGTAAGACTTGTAGGAAATATGACAGTTATTTATCGCCAGTTGACAGTAAGTAAAGATAATGTAACGTGCAACATATCAGTGGTGAGGTGAAATTGGGTTTAACGTCGTGCTTGAGAATATTTCGCTCATATGACGACGTGCATGTGTGTGTATGTGTAGGTGCGGCTGCTTGTACTAGCCCAGACTGAAGCTGGTTTTATAGTGCCAGCCTACTGAGATACCATGCCGCAGTGAAGCACGAATACCCCACTCAGACACATTATACTGACTCCGAGTCGACCAGTCCTTGTTGTACCCATTAATGCCGAGCGCCAGGCAGGGACCAACAAGTACCATATTTTAACGTCTTTTTGGTATGACGCGGTCGGGGATGGAACCCGCGACCTTCCGCTTTCCGGGCGGACGCTCTAGCCACTACACCACGGATGCGGTCCGCAACATATCAGAAGAAAAGAAAGATTTTCTTAGTCATATTTGGAAGAAACTATTATATTCTATTACTAACAGTTGCTGTTACCTGTCTTAACAACGATTTAAATAAAATATCACAATGGGCCCGTAAGTGGCTGGTTACATTTCACCCAAATAAAACCGAAATTACTCAGTTCTCACGTAAAGTGAAACCTTCTCTAAAACCGAACCTACTCATGGACGGCCCAATCATGAAAGACGTTAGAAGCTAGAAACACTTGGGATTAACACTCTAAAGCGACAGTACATGGAATGACCACACCGATGATATTGTACGTAAAGTTCGCCCCATGATAAGTTGTCTGAGGAGTTTTAAATACCGATTATCACGTAAAACCTTGGATATTATGTATAAGTCCTTTATCTTGCCAATATTTGACTGGGGCGTTGGGGTAGCCTAGTGGTTAAAGCGTCCGCTCGACACGCTGAAGACCCGGGTTCGATTCCCCACATGGGTGCAATGTGTGAAGCCCATTTCTAGTGTCCCCCGCAGTGATATTGCTGGAATATTGAAAAGTGGCGTAAAACCATACTCACTCACTCACTCAATCAATCAATATTTGACTATTGCTCGCACATTTGGGATAACTGTACGCCTGAAGAATCGCGTTTATTAAAAAACTTACATCTTGATGATTTCAGAACTATATATATATGCGGTGCCGTTCGTGGCACAATTCATCACAAACTTGATATTGAAACTACATTCCAGTCCTTGCATGATAGAAGGTACTGTCAAAAATTAACTGTTTTCTTTAAAATGTACAAAAACCAATTCCCAAACTATCTTTGTGATTTGATCCCAAACTCCATTTCCGGAACTACAAGTTATAATTTAAGAAACAGCTCTGAAATACAAGGAGTTTACAGTCGAACTGCCTCTTATACGCGTAATCCTTTTTACCAGACACAATAAATTTATGGAATGCTCTACCAAATTCCAAAGAGTCATGTAGTCTCTCAGAATTTAAAAACCTAATTACAAAAAACGAAAATATGATTTATTTTTACCTTAATTATGGCACTCGATTTTGTCAAATCGTTCGCTGCCGTCTCAGGCCCGGTTGTAGCGACCTAAACGCCGGTAAGTATATAAGGCATTTCATAGACAGTCCGGTGTACGGACAATTCCCCATCAGGACAATTCCCCACTAGGACAATTCCCCACATGACATTTCCCCATCTTGACATTTCCCAACACCTGTTTTGTAACCAGTAGGGCAATTCCCCACACCCATCACAAATAATACACAAACACAAGCTGATATTGTATACATGTATATATTGTATTAATATTGTATACATGTATATATTGTATTAATATTGTATACATGTATATATTGTATTAATATAGTAAAGAGGTTACATATATACAAGTATATAATCAGTTCACTCAGTTTATGAAGAGGCAACTAACGGGATCGGGTTGTCAGGCTCGCTGACTTGGTTGACACATGTCATCGGTTCCCAACTGCGCAGATCGATGCTCATGCTGTTGATCACTGGATTGTCTGGTCCAGACTCGATTATTTACAGACCGCCGCCATATGGCTGATGGGGAAATTTCCGACACTCAGACTGTCCATGTTGCTCTTGTGGATATCAAAGTGAAAACGCCTTACACTATTTTTTATATTCAGAAAAGAACAAATATGTATTTTTATACTACCGGTTATAATCTGGATACCATTATAAACGGAAACAAAGAACTTACTAAATGTGAAAACGAGAAAATAGTTGAATCCTTCCACGATTTTATCATCAAGACACAACGTTTTATATTTTCACAGAAAAATAATTCACTTAACTTAACAATAACCTTCTCATAAGTGTTCTATACTTCTACAAATGGTTTGTCAGACACACTAAACTGTAACTCTCTATTTATGTTTACTCTGATGATATTTGTATTTGTATTTCATGCAATATGTATACATATATTATTCATATGATAGTCAACATCGATGACGACACATGCTCCATTTAAATTTTGTATTATATGTTGTATGGGAGCCGTGTTAATATATAAGTTAATATAAGCTGTAAAGCTTGTTCACTAATCCCAATTCATTGTTTATGAATAAAAATATGTTTAAACCATATTCTAGGACCTGAAACGTAATATTTTCACCATATACAGTTGTCATTCTCGTACAGTTGACCGAACATATCAAAGACGACGCGTATTAAGCCTAGTGGTAGTTGCTTTAAACATATTTAATTCAAAAAGTGGAATCGGATCGGTAAACAAGCAGTACTAGTGGAGGTAATGGATAACAACTTTGTCTTCCAATGTGATGTTCTCTTTCCTCACTTTGGCAATGGCACCCGTGAAGATCCGGGTTCGGTTGATCTTCAGTACCCATGCTTGTCGTACGAGGCGACTAACGGGATCGGGTGGTCAGGCTCGCTCACTTTGTTGACACGTGTCATCGTATCCCATCTATGCCAGGAGCGGATACAGCGTTTTGAGAAAGGCGGGTGCGCACCCCCTGCACCATCCTCTGTATGTTCATGCTGTTGATCACTGTATAAGTCTGGCCCGGACACGATTATTTACAGCCCGCCGCCATATAGCTGGAATATTGTTGAGTACGACGTAAAACTAAACTCACTCACATTGGCAATGGCAACAGTTTATAATAATATTATACGACCCTTCCAACAATTCGGTTTTATTTATGGCGGCATGCAAATATGTGAATAGAATTACCTCCCTTTGTAATTAGCGCAGAGACTGCTGGGAGCGCACCTTGCAGTGAACGTCAAATGAGCTGCGAGCAGCATCTCTTGGACTAATTCCGTAAAACTGTGTCACTTGACATCGATGGAGTCAAATGTGACTTGAGGCTTTTTTCTGTCAATCAGGACCCTCTTCGATACAACAATACCGTAAGTATTTGTCTGTCGTGTTGGTACGCTCATAATTTGTGGCAAGTGACAGCTCTCTGAAGCAGGGTCGGCAAATCGAGGTTTCCTCTGGTTGGAAACAGATTGTTGGTGATCGATTCCGGAGAGGTTGCTTTAGATGACTGTGACTTAGAAGCATGTGTGGATTTATAATCGAGTGCGATAATGAGTGTTGAAGTTTCCTGTGCTTCATTTGTACGTTCTCCTTATCTTTTGCCGATCAATCCAAATTTGGAAGCGACGGCGGTTGCAATAGCACTATCAGACGCAAGGACATTCTGTAGTGACAACTGCTATAGGTAGGTTGATGTAAGTCTACACGTGTAATGCTGATGGTATCATTTAGGTGAATTATTGTTGAAGACTTCATCGTGTTTTGCAGACGTGTTGGTAAGCATGAACATTTCCAGGGAGATCTTACAGCCAGCAGACAGACTTTATTTTGCCTGTTGGTACTTCTCACTCAGAATGAGTGGGCGAGTGAGTTGGATTTTACACCGCTTTTACTAGTTTTAGCAATATTCCAGCAATGTCACAAGGAACACCAGAAATGGGCAATGTGTCCAAGTGGGAATCAAACACGGGCCAATGGTGTGACGAGTAAACGCTTTAACCACAAAGCTACCTCCACTGCCCCTGTCAGAACAATGTCTTGATTCACATTTGCAATTAAGCATCGACTTCTTTATGCCAAAACAAATACTTATGGTGCCAAATACTTTTGACTGAACTGTACTTGATACAGATTTATCTCAGATTCTGTTTTTCATGTCCTTGACAGACCAGTGGGGAAAATATACACGATTTTGCTGGATATTGGGATTTTCTTAAGAGTGCTTTTTTTCTTAAATTTGTGGTATGTTTATACTTCTTTATGAGATTGAACATCAACAACTCTTCTTGTTCACTGGTTCTGATATCAGTGAAATGCAGGTCACCCCTGCAAAGCAATAATACATGTATATATGTTAAACCTTTATTAACACAACCTTGCCACATTGAATTTATGTTTGGAAATTTTTAGTGACATTTGCTTCAGACTTTAATTAGGTTTAATATCAGCCTTTGGGCAGGCCTGGATAAATCCATGCTGGACTCTAGCTTAAGATCAATGACCATTTCGCAGAGTGGCAAAAGTTGATCCCTGTTTATCCAGACAGTTGTTGGGGTGGTCACAGTTTTATATCATCTGGATTAACAAATGTCCAGACTGGCAGATCATGGTGTGATTGGTCGTAGAAGTATTCATTCGCAAGGTGGAGTTTCCAGATTAGCAGGACCCTGGCTAAGAAGGTTTTTGAGAAGTTGAAATATTTCTATTTTGACTTTTTCTATAGCCATTTTGACTTTTTGGTATGGCCATTTTGACTAGGGTGTGTGGCCATTTTGACTTTTTTCTATAGCCATTTTGACTAGGGTCAGTGTGGTAATTTTGTGTGTGGCCATTTTGACTATGGTCAGTGTGGCCACAGTCTAAGTAAACTTAGGCTCAGTATTATTCATTACACTGCTATACTGAGTCTAACAAAACCTAGTAGAAGGTCGGGTCAGCTAACCATTTGGACTGACCAATCAGAACACAGCTTACCAAATCGCAAAAGTAAACATTCGCACATACCGTTTGAACCTTTACCTAAGAAACTTGAATGATTCCGAATGCTATTTTCCACACGATCGCATCCGAGTGATACACGCAATGAGTAAACAGTTGCTGAGAATAGCGTTTTTGTCAATATTCAAGGATGTCATCTTGCGAAAATATAAGCAAATAGAAACCCATAAGCGTATATACTGCAGGTCAAATATTTGTGTTTTATGCAGATTTTCGTTTGTTGATAGATTAGTGTCAGCGACCAGGGAAGAGAAAATCCAAAAACCGTTTTGTAAGTCCCGCCGAACCCTAACAAGTAGTCGTTGTCTGATTGGTTAAATCTGTTCTGCTGTCTCGGGTTTGATTGTCGCTCAAAGGTTAGCTGACACGACCTTCTACTAGGTTTTGTTAGACTCAGAATAGCAGTGTAACGAATAATACTGAGCCTAAGTTTACTTAGACTGAGTGTGGCCATTTTTTGTGTGGCCATTTTGACCTGTTCCCGTATCATTGAGCATGTTAGAATTCATTAAAAAGACAAGGCTGTTGGTCCATCCCACATGTGGTCAAGTTCACAAGGTCATCACAACTATTGACACACATTGTTTGTGTTTTTATTCAGCACGCTCAAGTGGTCCCAATCACTGTGACGATAAGTTTTTATCACAACTGCAACCAGTTATCAGGAAAACCGATCACAAAAATAAATATCCTACCCCTCCGAATTTCCAATAATGACCATGCTGCTTCAGTGTGCGAAATATACACTGGTCCTGTGGTCCCAGGCTAGTAAAAATTCATCAGGACCACTAAATGATAAGTTTGCAGTGGTCCTGGTGGCCGGTGAATTTTGTATTGACAGTTATCTAAATGTAGAAATGTTATTATGGACCAGTGAAGTTCAGACACGACCACTAATTATTGTCCACTCACTGGTCCTGTGGTCAGGTGGGAAATTTTGAAAGGTTTCTCTCCCTGTTGCTTTCTTATATGGTTTATGAGAGAGAGATGTTTATGATTTGAAGTCAGTCCTATGTGTAAAAGTGAGCTGAACCAGCACACATTGAAATATTTTTGTAAAAAGTTACGCTCAGCTGTGACACGTGCTCTAGAACAATTTGCAAGTCATCGAGTATGACACACATGTTGTCATTCACACTGGGTGATGATAATTTACTTTGGGTATTGAGTTATTGAACTACTTTTGGACTAGTCTGCTGATCAGTTTTCAACCAATCTGTAGATTCTGATTAAAATCATGATAGTTGTTTTCTTTTATAAATTATTCAACATGCATCCCAAAGTGTATGACATGTGGTATAGAGTGACAGCAGTGATAGATGTTTGATGGGCATTTAGAAGTTGGAAGGTAACATAGGCCAAATAAAAAATATGTTGGGGTTCTGATTACACCTCTTTGAAATTTAGGTACGTAGGTAGGATTTTTTTTTTACATTTTGTTTTGAAGTAAGGTACAAAATAATAACACATTTATCAATGTGTAATTGTTAATTCAATCAAGTTTGCGGCCATCATGTCGACTTTCTCTATCAGAGTGACCGATGTCTGTCAGTGACGGGGAAAAAACAATGTTATCTGAAAGCTACCGCCTAAAAAAGATAGGGTCAGCACCAGAATTCTAGGGTCAGTCAGGTAATCGGACCCCGAAGGTTTGATTAAGGCCATATCAACGTACGGTATGGATTTACAACTTCTTTAAAGGTCACATGCAACGTAAAACACAACTTTGCAGATTCTGATACCTTTCGGTATGGACAGGTGCGCAGTGAAATAGGTTCGCACAGCTTGGAAGCGGGTTGTCCGGTGAATACTCGGTGAAGGCTTTGGTTGTAGCTATTTTTCTAATGTTTTGTTGATATTTCACAGGCGCGAGCTTTTTATATGTTATGACAGCAGATTAACTGTTTATATAATTTCATTTGTCTAATTCACCACACGTTCTTCTTACCGAGTCACTTTCTCAGTTCGATACTTAAAAGCAATGTCATTATTTAGCTTTGACAGAATTTTTAACTGTGATATAGATATGTCGTTGTCACAGACAAAACTCAATGTCTGTTTTATTGACACCTATGTGTCTGCCTGCCTGTCTGCTAATGACCATATTCAATACACAACTGCGATCACTGACCACATGCAATTTGAACTTAACACCAATCAGGCTATACACCATAAACAAAATGCATTGATTTATGGCCCGAGTTCGGTCTCTGTCACATAATGTAATTACACAGACAGGCAGGTGTGATACTTGTACACATGACATGTTATGCATGATGTCTGTTGATTGCAAAATGTTATACACAAAAAATGAGCATGTATTTACAAAATCCAACATCTCTATATGTACACACACAATGAGCCTTGAGGGAATCTGCAAATGAACCAGCTGTTACACTTGAGTGCACACCCACCCGCTCTGACTGGGTTTGGTATCCCGGCTGCTTCGTTTCTTGGGAAGTAAACCCAAGTACACAATATTGCACTTTTGATTTGCGATTGTACGCTTATAATTTTGTTTATATGTTTTTTCATAACCAGCAATGTATATTATATGTCATGAATAAGTAATAATTGTGTTTTAATTATGTTTGATTTTTTTGGTTGCATGTGACCTTTAATATTTGCAACATTAACTGTAAATATTAAAGAAGTTGTAAATCCATACCATACGTTGTTATGACAACAGTGATACTTAGGTAAGTAACAAGATGAATCAATTTGTACATTATTCCCTGCAATACAGTTCACAGCGGTTCACATGAGAGTGATATATTTATAAAATGACCCCATGAAAATTCACTAGCCATTCGGGCCAGTGACTGGAGATTTACTGGCCCAACTGGATTTTTTAAAGCCATGGGCTAGGGCCAGTAGCTATTTCGCACACTGGGCATAGGGTTACAGAAGTGATTATTCAATGAAATAGGATTCATATTTGTTATGCCTTGTTATGTGCCTGCATTCAGTCAGAAAATCTGATCTGTAAACATGGCAAAGCAGATACAGGTATGCGAGCTGAAAAATCGACATTGAGTTTATTTATTACACAAAGTGTTGTGCTATTTGTTAAAGCAACACAAATAAAAGTAATGTATAATATATGTGCGGAGCTGTGCATATTGTGTACAGGATTACTTAAGGAGGAATAAGCCAATGGCTAGTCCACTTTATAAAGTATTGCGCAATGACAGCATTTGCTAGTAGGTGGTTCTTTAAAAGAGGCAGCATTAGAAAATTGTGTATTTATAGGTCAGATGAAAGGACTAGTGGAAATCCTGAGTGAGTGAATGAGTTTGGTCTTACGTCACTTTTAGCAATATTCCAGCAATATCATGGGGGGGGGGGGGGAGGGCACCAGAAATTGGCT